TTTTTTCTATACTGCGTTTCTATTGCATTAGGGGTTTTAGGCGTGAAATTCCCAACAACTGGTATCAGAGCGTAAAACGATCTAGAGAAAGTCAGATTCAAGTGGGAGCCATGGCCGCAGATGAGGCAAAATTGAGACTTGAGAAATTTGATGGAACAGATTTCGGATTCTGGAAAATGCAGATAGAGGATTATCTGTATCAGAAAAATCTGTATCAACCACTATCGGGGAAGAAGCCAGATTCTATGAAGGAAGAAGAGTGGAACCTTCTAGATAGACAAGCCCTCGGAGTTATCAGATTGACGTTGACTCGCAATGTTGCGTTCAACATAGCGAAGGAGAAGACCACGGCAGGTCTTATGGCAGCACTCTCAAACATGTATGAGAAGCCATCAGCCGCGAACAAAGTTCATTTGATGCGGTGGTTATTCAATCTGAAAATGGCGGAAGGCGCGTCAGTAGCACAACACCTCAATGAACTTAATACGGTTACAACCCAATTGAGTTCAGTTGAGATTGAGTTTGATGAAGAAGTTCGGGCGTTGATATTGTTGTCTTCCCTACCAGAGAGTTGGAACGCTACAGTCACAGCTGTGAGTAGCTCGTCGGGAAACAGTAAGTTGAAGTTCGACGACGTTCGTGATTTGGTTCTCAGTGAGGAGATCCGACGGAGAGAAACGGGTGAAGCTACAACCTCTTCAGTATTGCATACAGAGTCAAGAGGTAGAAATTCAACCAGAGGAAACGGACGAGGCAAATCAAACTTCAGAGGTAGATCAAAGGACAGAAGGTCCAAATCATGGAATCCAAGCAACAGCTCGAAGGCTATCGAGTATTGGAATTGTGGAAAGACCGGGCATTACAAGAATCAGTGCAAGAGTGCACAGAAAGAGAAGGAGGCGAAGGCAGAGGTGAATGTCACCTCCACTTCAGGAGGAGACGACGCATTGATATGCTCTTTGGAGAGCAAGGAGGAATCTTGGGTGTTAGATTCAGGAGCGTCGTTCCACGCTACTTCTCAGAAAGAATTCTTCGAGAAGTATACCCCCGGAAAACTTGGATACGTATATCTTGGTGATGATCAACCGTGTGCTATAGTGGGCAAAGGCGTAGTGAAAATTAAGTTGAACGGGTCAGTATGGGAGCTGAAGGATGTCAGTCATATTCCCGACCTGAGAAAGAATTTAATATCCGTAGGCCAGTTGGCTGGCGAAGGATAGGATGTCAGTCATATTCCCGACCTGAGAAAGAATTTAATATCCGTAGGCCAGTTGGCTGGCGAAGGATTCACCACAACCTTCCATGGAGATGATTGGAAGATCTCAAAGGGCGCAATGACAATTGCCCGAGGCAAGAAGACTGGTACCCTGTATATGACAGCAGGTGCACGTTGTTTGATCTCAGTTGCAGCAGGCAATGAGACTTCAAAGCTGTGGCACCAGAGACTCGGTCATATGAGTGAAAAGGGGATGAAAATCATGCACACAAAGGGGAAACTCTCAGGACTGCAGTCAGTGGAGATGGATATGTGTGAAGAATGTATACTTGGAAAGCAGAAGAGAGTCAGTTTTCAGACAAGTGGCAGAACCCCCAGGAAGCAGAAGCTAGAGCTCGTTCACTCAGATGTGTGGGGACCAACAACCACCACGTCCATTGGTGGAAAACACTACTTCGTGACTTTATCGATGATCACTCTCGGAAAGTATGAGTCTACTTTCTGAAGCATAAGTCAGAAGTATTTGAAGCTTTCAGGAGATGGAAAGCTATGGTCGAGAATAAGACCGGTCTGAGAATAAAGAAGCTCAGGACCGACAATGGTGGTGAGTATGAAGACACCGGATTCAAGAAGTTCTGCTATGAGCACGGGATCAGAATGGAGAGAATCGTGTCAGGCACGCCTCAGCAAAATGGTGTAGCTGAGCGAATGAACCGAACGTTGACGGAGAGAGCCAGAAGCATTCGAGTACAAGCAGGCCTACCAAAGCAGTTCTGGGCAGAAGCGGTCAACACAGCAGCTTACTTGATCAATCGAGGTCCATCGGTTCCATTGGAGCACAAAATACCAGAGGAGGTATGGTGCGGAAAAGAGGTAAAACTCTCACATCTAAAAGTTTTCGGTTGTGTAGCTTACGTGCATATTAGTGATCAAGGCAGGAATAAGCTTGATCCCAAGTCAAAAAAATGCACATTCATCGGCTATGGTGAAGATGAGTTCGGCTACCGCATTTGGGACAACGAAAACAAGAAAGTGATCAGGAGCAGAGATGTGATATTCAACGAGAAGGTGATGTACAAGGACATGCACAAGACAGATGACTCAGAGAGCGAGTCAATATTTGTAGATGCAGATGATGTCTCGAGTAACCTCTCGGAAGAACCCAATGTAGAGGGTCCTCAGTAAGAAGAGACTGTTGGACAAGATGGTGCGCAGGAGCCCGACGCACCAGCTCCGATTTTAAGAAGATCTTCTCGTCCTCCTGTACCCAACATGAGATACATGAACTATCTGTTATTGACAGATGGTGGGGAGCCTGAAAGCTTTGATGAAGCTTGTCAGTGTGGAAATGCGAGAAAGTGGGAGCTTGCCATGAAAGATGAGATGAAGTCTCTCATCTCAAATCAGACGTGGGAACTAGCTGAGTTGCCCACGGGTAAGAAGGCACTCCACAACAAATAGGTGTACCGGGTGAAAGAGGAGCAAGATGGTTCCAGAAGATATAAGGTCCGGCTAGTTGTCAAAGGTTTCCAGCAGAAGGAAGGAATTGACTACACCGATATTTTCGCTCCCGTGGTGAAGCTTAATACTATCAGGACCGTGATGAGTATAACTGACGTGAAGACGGCGTTTCTTCACGGAGATCTAGAAGAGGAGATATACATGCACCAGCCAGAAGGTTTCTCAGAAGAAAAGAAGAAAAAGAACCTGGTGTGCAGACTCAAGAAGAGCTTGTATGGCCTGAAACAAGCCCCAAGACAGTGGTACAGAAAGTTTGACGGCTTTATGCACAAGGAAGGTTTCCAGAAGGGCAACGCCGACCACTGTTGCTACTTCAAAAGATATCAGTCCAGCTATATCATCCTACTGCTGTATGTTGATGATATGTTGGTTGCAGGAGCAGATATGAAAGATATCAAGAGTTTGAAGCAGCAGCTGTCAAAGGAGTTTGACATGAAGGACTTGGGTCCAGCGAAGAAGATCCTTGGAATGCAAATCACGAGAGATAAGAAGAGAGGTCTCTTGCAGTTATCTCAGACGGAGTACATCAACCGTGTTTTGCAGAGATTCAACATGGGCGACGCCAAGCCTGTGAGCACACCCTTGGCCAGTCATTTTCGCTTATCGAAGGATCAGTCTCCTCAGTCAGAAGAAGAGAAAGAGAGTATGGCTCAGGTACCTTACGCCTCAGCTATCGGAAGCTTGATGTACGCTATGGTCTGTACGAGACCAGACATTGGCCATGCAGTGGGAGTGGTCAGCCGGTTTATGTCGAATCCAGGAAAAGCTCATTGGGAAGCGGTCAAGTGGATTCTGAGATATCTACGAGGCACCACACAGAAGTGTTTGCACTTTGGTAAGGGAGAGGTAGAAGTGCAAGGGTACGTAGATGCAGACTTCGGCGGCGAAGTTGATCACCGAAGAAGCACCACCGGCTATGTATTCACCGTTGGAACTACAGCTGTTAGTTGGATGTCACAGGTACAGAAGATCGTTACCCTATCCACTACAGAAGCTGAGTATGTTGCAGTGACTGAAGCCAGTAAAGAGATGATATGGCTTCAAGGTTTGTTGACAGAGCTGGGATTCAAACAGGAGAAGAATGTTTTGCACAGTGATAGCCAGAGTGCGATACACTTGGCGAAAAATTCAGCATTTCATTCTAGAACGAAGCATATTGCGCTTCGGTACCACTTCATCAGATCCCTGTTGGAAGATGACGTGTTGAAACTGGAAAAGATTCCAGGAAGTAAGAATCCAGCAGACATGTTAACAAAGACGGTGACAGTTCAGAAACTGGAGTTGTGCGCAACTTCAGTTGGCCTTCATGCATAGATGATGAGGGCGGAGCCACACAGGAGAGGAGCTTGATGAGATAGCCTGATTGACGGCGGTTTGATCTCCAAGTGGGAGATTGTTAGAATTGGGGTGTAGATCACGTCGGTTTGGTCTCCAAGTGGGAGATTGTTAGTTTTGGGGGTGGATTCAAACCTCCGACGGCGGAGAAGCTCCGATGAGCTCCGACGAATCTCGAAGCCCAGGCGAGGTTGTCGACGACCAGATGCAGGCGAAGCTCTCGAGCAGGCGAGCTCGAGTTGGCGATCTCCAGGCGACTTCGAACAGGCAAGTTGAGGAGATCAGACGCAAACCTCGGGCGAACGCAACCCTCGAACTTGGCGTTTTTCTTCGACCTCGGCGTTTGCCCCCACCTTTGCGTCCATGGGCCGCTGGCGACAGGCTGTCGCCAGCTCATCCACCTCGCCTATAAAAAGGCCCCTAGGGTTTCGCTGCTGTGCTGCTGATTCTTCCCCTTCTCCTCCGATTTCTTCTTCTCTGGCGGCGGCTGCCCCAAAATCGCAGAAGCGATTTTTTCATCTCCAGCTCTCAACGGGATTTTGAGGGGAGATTAAAAGAGGGATTTAAGAAGAGAGAGAGAGAGAATTAAAGAGGGGTTTTTAATTGTGGGGTATTTATTCTCAAGTGGAAATTGAAAGGGTTCATACCCTGTTATTATTAACACTGTAGCTACAGTGTTTATTTGAGAAATCTCAGTTTTGAGATCTGCTCCTAAATTGTAATTTCTTGTTTGATTAATAAGAAATTTACTGTGTGGCTCCCGAGGACGTAGGCAGTTGCCGAACCTCGTTAAATCTTGGTGTACTTTTTCTATACTACGTTTCTGTTGCATTAGGGGTTTTAGGCGTGAAATTCCCAACAGAAAGTGGCTACAAATTGGGCTTTTATTGACAACTATGAAGAGGTTTATAACGGAAGAGTATGAGTGATGTGGGACAAAAGTTACTTTGATGTGGTATGTTGTAAGTGGTCAGTGTATCCATTGCAATGTTCAGAGTTTATTGTATGATGTCTTGCATATACGCATAATACCAACTAGATAGGAGGAAAATGTTATGGGATGATATTAAACTTTTCAGCCACCAAGTTAGTTTGCCTTAGATGTTATGTGGAGATTATAACAATGTCTTGGAAATCAATGATAGTTTAGAGATTGAGAGCTCAAGATATCTGAAGAGTGGTATTGATCAGCGCCTGTCATACGCGATCCCGGGCGCCTGGCTTCCGCGCCGGGCCCCTCCTGAAGAGGCTAAAATGGAATTTTATTTCCTTATGTTTTTTTTAAACTTGTCAAAAAATAACCAGATGGAAATGGTGAGGGGGGAGGGGGTACGCGAAGTATAAAAAAACTTGAAGTCCGGGTACTAAAAGCCTTAGTTTTAATGATTACAACCCATTGGATTTCCCAGTTATTATGTGCTTTAGGTGCCAAGCTTACGAAAATAACCTATATTTCTACCGAGTTGTCCCCCTCAGATTCAAACTTCCGCCGCTGGGTGCTTGGTCTCCTTTCTTATAATAAATGTGAAATAATGGGAGGTTGTGGGGGGCATATAAAATCCTTTATAATATTTCTCCCCGCTTTTCAAAAATGGGCGGCCTAAAAGTTCCCCATGGAAAAAGTTTTTTTCTTTTGCCCTATAATTAACGGAATCAACTGGTTTTGAAGAAACTGATTTCCCTACTAGAGGTGTAAGATGTGTAAGAAAATTTGGTTTTCGAATAATTAAAACCAAAGAACCCTCAAAAAACCCATGATTCCTTTGGAGGGATGTTTCTTTTGACAATGCTTAATGCCAGTTTTGAATTTCTATCAGTTGTTTTTTTTTTCAAGGTAAAAAATGGTAAGGCAACAAAAAAGTGACCCTGTGAAAAGGCTATAAATTTTCAAATCGAAAATCTTGTGGATACGCAGATGTTGCCCCCTAAAATTCGGACTAGTTTTTGGGTTTTAGAAATCGCTAACTGGTCATTTTTAGTTAAAGCAACTGGAAAGGTTTAATTTAAGGATTCTGAAATCATATTTTTTGGTAACAATGAGGTTTTATTAAGGATATTTCCCTATCTTATTTTTGGTAAAAAAAAACTAGGTTTATTAGGAAAAATTCCCTAATTATTTATGGAAATTGCCTTATTTTTGTTTTTAAGATAATTGCCTAGTGATGTTTTTCTTATGATTTTGAGAAAAAATTTTTTAATATATATATGGGGAACAATTGAGGAAAGAGAAATAGGAGAATTAGAATTAAGCAATTGGTTGTGTTTTTTTTTGAAGCCACTTTTGTGGAAAGTAAGGAAAAAGTATATATATTTGTGAGGGTAAAAGTCTTTAGCAAGCTTTTTGTTTTGTTTTTTATTAGGGTTTTTATTATATTTTGATTAAATTTTTGTTGAGTTTTTTCGTTAACCCGCGTTTTTTGTATTTTTTCCCTCCTCCATATAAGTGGAAATGCCTTTTCCGCCAATGCCCCTCCCCCCCCAGGTTCGGAAACCCCGTAAAAGGCCTAATTTGCCCGCCGCCAACCGCTAACGCGTAAAATTTCGCTTGTGTTTTGGTTTTTTATTTGAATTGGTGTGCGTAAAATTTATTTTGGGTCGAAAAATTGCCACAACTCCGTGATTTTTGGTTTGGTCTTTTATTTTTTTTTTTCCTTTTTGGGGCCCTCCTTAACCGGAATGAAGGGTAGTATGATAAACAGTTCCCGCGTGCTCACAAATGTAACTCGACCGGGTAAAAATAAGATGCCTATCTAGTCACTCTATAGTGAACGTGACTTTAAACCGCATTGACGCACTATAAAAAACGTATTTTTGAGGAGGAACGGATAGGGACGAAGCCCTTCCGCACGCGCTTAGTTTACTTGCGAAAGGAGAACAGGGCCCCCCAGCTTGTCGACGATAGAGGGTAAGGAAGGCCCATAGTCCGAAGGTTGGTTAAAAAATAGAGGAAAGTCCTCAAAAAGTCACGCCAAGAAGCCCCGCCCGCACTCCCCACGCATTAGCTAAAAGTAAAACCAATTGTCGCATTCTGTAAAAGGAATACATGGCAAGCTTAAATTTAGGGAAGAGAAGTACTAATTCCGCCGGAAGCCTCAGAGGAGAAAAGGAAAGGCAATACGCAAAGAAAAAAGGGCCCCGAAAAGGCGCCCTAATGAAATGTGAAACGGCGCTTTGCGGCGAAAGCCGATACATTTTTCGGCGAATCGGACATTTTCGTCTGTTTTTTTTTTCCTTCATTTGGGATTACCGTCCCCGGAGGCGTGAAAACCAACAAATCTTGTAATGCAAAATCAAGTTTTTTTTTGGCATGAATATTTTGATTCTGGCCTTACTTATCCGCATGTTTGAGACTCGCCTCAAAAGAGGCGGCCGAGATTCGAGGGGTTTTTTTTTCCATCCATTTTGAGAGAACATACACGACGGGGGTTGTCTGTTTGTCATGGGGAAGAAATGGAATTCTCGAATCTTTGGTTTGGCATTTTGTTGGGGAAATAAAGGTACTATGAGGAATTGTCTCCGGATGCACGATGGGAACGTTAAAAGTTTCGTCGGAGTTGACAGAAGGTGTGCAGAATTCCGTTTCGCTCAACCTGAAAGAAAGAAACCTTATCTCAGTTTTTGGATAGCTTTTTTAAGAATAAGAGGTCCCGAAGAGAATTCCCAAAGGGTTAGGGACCTTTTGAGATTGCTTGTAGCGAAAGGTTTTTACCTAAGGGAAATCTTTGGTGTGAATGAAAAAGCGAGTTCCCACCCCGCAAGTGCAAATAATTTTTTAATACTATCCCTGACAGGGGAGCACACGAGATTGGCCCAAGGTCTGCCTTCCCGGCTATTTTTTTCCAGAGGCGGGACCAAAATGAGCAAGCCTTTTTGGCGAAATTACACGGCTTCAGGGGGCAAAAACACAGGTGAAAGATAGTCAAACCTGCAGGCAAAATTCTGTTTGCCCACGCAGGGGCCTATATTGAAGGAGGACCTAAAGAGTGGGTAAAGAAAGTTGGGAATTTTTCCCTATGAAAGGCAAGCTGTGGGGGTTAACTTTGGCAAGAACAGAACACAAAATGTGAAGTTTTTTTTTGGGGAACCACGGCCCAAATCCTCGTCCATAGGGACCGAAGGGGCATCCCTTTTTGGACCCCTACCGTTGGCCACCACAGATTGGTTTCTTAAGGGTTTCCCACCAGAACCCGGCACTCACCCTTTGGTTAGTCCCCCCGACATTAGTCTCGTCCCCAAGCAGTTCGTTGATGAAAAGCGTATTCTTAAGGCGATGTTTTGGCGAGTGTTTAAACAACCATTGAAAAGCCCGCATAAGAAAGTGAAGTCCCCCCTAAAGACTTTTTGTTTTCGTTTTTTTTTTGTCGAGTGGGGGGAAGAGAGAGCATTAGGAAAACTGCTTAAGACCCCTTGGGAAAGTCAAAGAATTAAAGCAACGTTTTTTTTTGCCCGATTCCCCCGACAAACGGACGGGCGCAGTATACCCTTTGTCAAACAAACACCCCTTTACAGTAGCCTTTTTTATGTTCGAACGAAAACGAGGGCATAAGAGAGGCTAACTTCCAAACAGTTAAGTCCATACACCACCCGCGCGCAACCATAATGGGGCGTGGCCCGGGAGAAGGTTAAAAAAATCGCATCTTTTTGTGCTTCGAGGAAGATCGATTGTTTTTAATTGGTCGCATAGGTGGGTTTGGAAGAAACGATTCTTGTTTTGGGCATTGCAGGCAGCTTTTTTTGCTCATGCCCGAGCCTACCGCTCCAATTAATAGGCCCTTTTTTTTTTTTTATTGTCTTTCATCTGCGATCGAGGGGAAAAAGCAACGCCCTAATGGGAGAAATGTGGTCCCGAGAGACAACAAAACAAAAAAAAATTCCAACTTAAATGAAACGCAGCCGCTTTAAAAGGTAATTTGGCTTTGCCCCCCCTGGCATAAATTAAAAATATGTTTTTTTTTAAAACGCATAAGTCTGGAACCCTCGGCTAGGAAAAGCGCGCCAATATTTGTGTAGGATTCAAGGCGTGATGT